CTTCCGGCTCGGTAAGCTCCGCGGACCTGTCGGCACTCACGCATGCCGTCTCCACGCACACGCGTGCATGTGCCATCTTCACAGGACCCACCCCCCGCCCTCCCCCCCCCCCCCCCCCCCCAACCCACGGCCAGCACCACCAACCGGCCAAGAAGCCAGACACAGGCCGCTTGAAAACATATTTTATTAGCTGCCAGGCTACCAAGGGCCACGGCAGCTGTGCAGGAAAAGGAAGTCAGAATTGTCAGAAGGGGCAATCCTCCACCGATTAAATAAATACCTCTCTCATAGTAACAATTTAAATAAATATCTGTGACCTGTCAACATCAGCAACGGAAAAAATAAATCTAAAATTTATATTCATATATTTATTTATATAGAATCTTATTTATATATATATATAGATATTTCATATGTTCTTTAAATTCTTTTACACCATACAGGATGCCAGTTGTACCAAAGCAATGCTTATGAAGACGACAGGGAGAGCTGACAGAGGTTAGCTTACGGTGGGTGTACGGCACTGTGCCAGCAAGGGGGGGGCACCCGAATGCTGGCAGCAGCACCTGGCACGGCATCCCTTGCCAAAGCCCCGGCTGGGCGACGGGGTTGGGGGGCAGGGGGGGAGGTGGGGTGCCTTTCGACATGCATTACCAAGGGGTGAGGGAGGTCCTTCAGAGGGCAGACAAGGGCCTTGATTGGCGCTGCCAGTGGGAACCAGTAGGTGTCCCGTAGATGGTGCCTCCCCACCACTAGATTACCGGGTGCATGCCGATGATACATGACACCAAACCAGGCCTCCCCACCCAGCAAAGCAAAGCCGACTTATAGCACAAGCGTTGCATGGGACTGTCGACTCATGATAAATCTCAGGAACGATTGGAAAAATGCAGTAAAAATAACATCCATCCATATACTCATTTTCTGAAACTGCTTACTCTATTCAGGGTCATGGGGGGTCCGGAGCCTATCCCGGGGGCGATGAGCGCAAGGCGGGGAACAACCCAGGATGGGGCACCAACCCATCACAGGTAAAAATAACAATAAATTGATAATATTTACATACAAAAATATACCAAAGTAATTTGAAGAAACAGGACGACTATGCATACAAACAGCCAGACACTGAGGCTGTGTGTGTCGGATTCTCACAGTCCAGCGGGTATCAGTGCATCGGAGAGGCACGCTCCCCCCCCCCCCCTTCTGGTCTCAGTCAGTGTGGAGTCCAGGCTCACATCGAGAGCAGCTCTGGTTTCAGATCTGCAGTGGCGCACGCTATCTGGAAACCAGCCCCCACCCCCTGCCTTACCCGTGCATGTTTTTTTTTTTTTATCTACATGCTGTAACAGCTAACCCCCCCCCCCCACGCACAGATAAAGCTTTGACTCAGGGAGCCAGACGGCTGCATGCACACACCCAGGTGTCTTCTCTGTCCCCGGGCAGTGTAGTATCTGAAATGCTTTGTGACCACCCACCCCCAAGAAAAAAAAACACATTTTAATCGCTGTCCAATCTCACATGGTTAACTTGGTCTGTCCCGCTATTAATGACCAACTGCCAGATGGTATGGACGGGGGTGTCTGAACCAGTCTGAGGGGTCGAACCCCCCTCCCCACAAAAAGTCCCAGAACAGCTGTACTCAGAATCCAGGCACCTTCCCAGTGTGATCCCAGGAAGCTTCAGCATCCTGCCAGAAACCTCCTGCACATCTGACCAGCTCGTCTCCGAGTTCCAGCACGTGAACCATGTCTGGAAAATGCCAGAAGGAACAAGTATCCTGGCAGTGCACGCAGTTGCTTTGAGCACTTGGTTCTACGTCTGAATCTGCTTGCCTCGTCTCGCCATTTTGCCTTTTTTTCCAACACTCGTGCAGGAAGCAGCAGGTGAGACGAGCGGCCATCCCATCAACCTCCGCGAAACCTGAGGGTACGATAGCTCGTATGCGTTTTCTTGTGTTTATTCCTGCTGTTGCAACGGCGCACAATCCGCTCCACCTATGGCGTTAATGGATGTCAAATAAATAAATAAATAGACTAAAATTAAGATAAAAGTATATAGTATGGTGTTGTGGATATGGTCTAGGTCTGCTTGTTTGGTCAGGTCTTGGTTGGTGATGTGGCCGTTTCAGCAATGAGTCTCACGAAGAAGCTTTGGTCCCTCCATTAGGTGGATGTGGGGTTGGGATGCATGGGGGTGTCATCAGGATTATCGGGGACAGGCTTTAGAAGTATGATTCGTCATCCTTGTCATACTGGCTTCTCCAGGGACTTTGGGAATGTAGTCGGGTTGGAGGAAGAGATCTTCCGGCACACTGTGTTGGTATTGCTGCAGCGGCAGCCTGGGCGGGAGGCCCGGTCGTAGCCATGCTGGCACAGGGCGAGGCACAGCTTGGCGGGTGGGTAGCAGCATAGGCAAGGCAGGCAGAGGGACAGGAGAGCCATGGTACCCCAGCGGGCACAGGCGTGGGCAGGCCCACAGGAGCAAGGGCGGTCAGCGCAGTTGTCCTCGTCGTCAGCAGAGCAGTGGTAGAAGAGACCCTTGATGCAACAAAGGCATGTGCCATGCTCCACGGCAGCTTCAGCTGAGCACAGGCAGCGCTGGCCACATGCCCAGCAGGAGGGCAGCCGGCGGGGACTGCTGCACTCGGGACACTTGCACTTGCCGCAGTGCTCACAGATGAAGAGGTGGCTGCCCAGATCACCGGCCATGGATGGCACTTTCCCCAGGCCTTCTCGGGACTTCAGGCCACTCTCGGGTTGGGTGCGCACTGCCAGGCCCGAATGTGAGGATGCCAGGCTGGGCAGCAGGCGCTGGTCAGAGGTGGCACTGCCACGGGACACGGAGCTCACGGTGCTAGAGCGGCTCATGTGGGATGGGTAGCAGTGATGGGGGTGGCTCTGGCTGCGCGGCACCAAGCTGGGCCGCTCGTCACGGACTGGGGGGGTAGGACCCATCTGGGGGCAGAGCTCCAGAGCTGCTGGCCGATCCACGTAGTCGTTGTTGGCTCGGGTGGCACGGATTTGGTTGATGGACAACACTGGAACCTGCTGCAAATCCAGGCTGTCAGGGTCCATCCTGTAAGGGGGCGCCAGATCCATCCTGCTGCAGGGGACACCGAGGGTGGAGCCGGGGTGCAGGGGCCACGTCGATCAAGGCACATCAGACAAACCTGGAATTCCCAAAAGACAGAGTCACTATTAAACCAACCCAACAATGCCATCTGTCCAGTATCATGGGACACAGCATCATTCAGAACTTGCATCTCCCTGGCACATGCCAGCAAAGTGGTTGCAGCAGAGGCGTGCATGAATGCCTACAAAATTTGTCACACAATGCTTCTTCTGGGGGGGCAGACGTTCATACACAGCTTGCTGCATAACTGCCGGACATGTGACTTGGGGAGCCGAGAGAAGGCTGATGGCTCATGGCGGAAAAACACTTAAATTGTGAATGAGCCCAAAAAGTTTGGTGGAGGGATGAGGGAAATTATGTGGCTGGAGCATGGGTATGAACTAAACTAACAGCAGCCAGAAAAGTTGTCGTCTTAATGTGCACAGCATGACTGTTAGATGACCAAAAGTAAGATCACTACAATGGCTTTTAGGGACACAATTATCACTCTTGGTTTGTTTCTGTTATAACTGGAATAACTAGAAAATGTTCAGGCTAATTGTAAATGCGAAGGATATTTTATTGATCATTTCCTCCGTTCAAGAAGCAATCTACCCTGACGTCTTCAGGCTTGTCAGTAATTAATGTGCTCGTACAGTGTTTCATGCCGTGACATTGAGCACTCACATCCAAATTTACTAAGAGCTCCCTCTCCCTGAATTTGAGGAGGGACATTTCCAGTCCTGGATGCTCCCAGGTCCAGGCCCATGCAGGGCCCACCAAAATGGATGCGGTGGGCCATTCCGCAGGGCATCCACGTCCGCAGCGATGTAATTAGGACAAATGGAAAAGCGTTTAAGCGGCAGATAGAGACAGGAGAGACGAACGGTCCGACGTAATGTCAAACGGAAATCCATACACAGGAACAGCAATTAGAGAACGTGGAATAAGCCCAGTGTGCAGGCTATCTGGGTTTCAGGCCCCTGGATCCACTGACAGGACGCACGGATGCTTGTCCAAAAGTAAGATAGCATCCCAAACAAGCCAGAGATAAGCCGATTGAGTCCGGATACATTAAATACATTTTCAAATTATGGTGGGGGGTGGGGGGATGTCTAAGGTCACCCAAGAAAGTAATTTCATCATATCACTGTGTACACATCCTTGCTTGGATCCAGAGGACCAGGATGAGCCTTGTTCTTTCCATTAGGTCTTAAAAACTTATAGGGACCATAAAAAAAATGCAGTTTGATCCTGGGCGCTAACAAGCATAATGGGAGCACTGGTATAGTCTGTTGGAGGTTTCAGTTGTGGGAGAGTGATTGTTAGACCTAGTGCTCTTCTTTTCTACCCTCACAATACCCTGATTTGCAATCTGGCAGCATTTTTGTGGATACCAATCGATTGTCCTGCACCTCGGTTTTTGTGGTGCTCCAAATAAGAAAAACAGGAGTATGAAATCCTAAAAGACCTGGCAGGGTAAACCTGGTGCTGAACGGAAGCCCACATGGGGTCCCTTTAGCTTCCATTTCTGGGGATATTTGGGAGACCTAGACTGACTTTTCCTTTTCATGTAATGTGTCTCCTAACATCCTGAGGTTAACCAGCATCATATTTGATACACACTGATTTGAAAATGTCTAGTTTGGTATAAAACTCGTTATGTAGCAATTATACAGCACACCCCACAACCCCCCCCCCCCACCATTCAGGCCAATCCTAAGACAGTTCCTTAGGGGTGACGGCATTATGGTCGTGCGAGTTTGGGAAGTAATTACCCATTACCCAGGGGCTCCTGCTCCACCCTCACGAGAGATCATGTCTGCTCGCCATTAAGTGCACCGACAGTGCTGTAAAGTGAGATGTAGAGTGCCCATCCACTGTGGCTCCACGCCCAAAGCCCCCAACCCCCACCGACACCATAATCATCGCACAGCCATGGGCGCTAAGAAATCAATAAACAACACTCCATTCAGTGAGCAGGAGATGGGACAGTGGGCAGGATAGCAGTCCACTACCACTCCCCAACGATCTGGATTCAAGCTGCCTGCAGGGCCTCCTGGAACTGGCCACCCAGTCAGTGGATGGGCACCAGACCCCCATTGTTAGGCCATAGTTACCAGTCCATGTGCTAACTTTGGTGTTTAGTTACATCTGAGCAGACAATGTCAACATTTTTCCATGAGGAGAACTGAAATTGATGACAACCTAGAGCTGTTAAATTCAATAAAATTAAATTTCATTCAGTTTATTTTTATATAGTGCCATTCCCAATGATGATCCCCAAAGATCTTAATGGACTCTTAACCATACAACAAGTTAAATTAGAAAAAGAAATAAACAAACACAGCCAACAAACATGCTAGTTATCTTATAAGATAACACAATTAGTTTAGGGATTGTTTTCAGTCACAGAGCAGTAATTTCCTCCTGCTTGATTCTGTTTGAGGTTTTCTGTTCAGGCTGAGAGACAATTCCAAACTGTACACCCTTGGGGTCATTTATTTGTCTGGGCAAGTTTCTTCCTTTATTCCACGTCTACTTCCCTCCGTGTCTCGACAAACCCCCCATCCTTTTCTCACAGAGTGCTGGGGGGGGGGGGGGGGAAGGGTCAAGCGCTTATCGACGAGCATCATAACCATGGCTTCCGACGACAGACTGTCTCCTAGCTTCGGTTCGGTAGCTTCAAAGCGTAACCTGAACGCCCAGCCACCCCACCCCCCGCGCCCCCCAACTATCCCCCCGCCCACCCCAAGCCTGTGACACGGAGGGTTCTGGTAGCGACAAGCTAAAAGGGGCCGCCGAAACCCAAGGTGGGTGAGCTTATCTCGCCACGTCGATCGACTCATACCCCATCGGTCACGTTACCAGTTCCAGTTGGTTTGGAAACAGGCAGTAGCCGATGGAGCGTGGTGATGCCACCCATCACGGCTTCTGAAGCCTCATTTCCCTCACTGCTGAGGCTCCGGCGGGAGGAGGAGGACAGGCGTCAGCTTGGGGTGGGGGAGAAAGGGGCGGGGCCCCAGTAAGAGGGCTTGTGTTTATCTCAGCCGGCCTGCTGCGGGGGTAACCTGAAGACCGGCTCTGCGCCAAGGGAGTATAACTGCTGACAGAACTGTGCCTGGAAACCCAGCCTGGGGGCAGCTTTACCAGTTACCTTCCTCACATCCTTGGCAGGGTAACCCGATCCGGCGCAGGAACAGGACGACGAAGAGCACATTATTCATAACAATTAGCTTTGCGCTACCGGCTCTAGGAAATTCAAAACCACGAACTTGAACGAAAGAGGCAGGGGCGGGGGGGGGGGGGGGGGAGGGTTGGGAAAAAAAGCCAAGAATCTGAAAGGTGAACGGAAGCTTTTTGGCTCTCGATGAATGATATGTAACCTTTTATTTTTATATTGTATTTTTTTTTTTTTTATTCCTTTTCAGCAGCACTGGCTAGCTAGCTGTCCAGACCTGAGGCTTGCCACTGTGAAGAGGACGACTCTGTTTTGGATCTTCGGCACTCAGCATGAACAATGACACAAAAATGTCAAGCTATTTTAAACCTCCCCATGTCCATGACCCTTTCGCACTGCTGTCTCTGATGTTATCGCTGATTACAGTCCACTACCACTCCTGAACGATCAGGATTCGAGCTTCCTGCAGGGCAACTTGTCATTATAGATATCAATTTCTCTCTCTCTCTCTCTCTCTCTCTTTCGGTCTCTGCCCTCTCTCTCTCTCTTGCCCCATTCCTCTCGCTCTCTATTTGTCTGATTGATCTTCCTTGGTGTCTCTTGTCCCCTAGCTGGTATTTCCCCACTCAAAGAAGCCAAGAAAATGAAGTTGTTTATATCGCAATATCCGGTTCATTAATCGATCGCATGCCAGGGAACGGCCCACTTCCCAAAGTTGTGGCGCGGGAGGAAGCGCTATTTTTCCAGGGCTATGAGTGCAGCCAACACGCCGTCCGTACGGCTTTACTCCGGCAAATAGCGGTGGTCCCCAGCCAGCCGTGTGCTGGGTGTTCAAGGAGGAACAGGGCCAAAGATGACCCAAATGCAAGCCCCCTCCCCTCATCCCCCGCCCACCCTGCCAATTCCCTCCCTCCCTGTGACAGCACCCCGCCCTTCAGGACCTGGGGCCCGTCTCCGGGGCCCCTGTGGGAACAGCAGGATTGAATGACAGTAAATTGTATGAGATTCCGGATGCACTGAATCCAACCCCCAGGATGGACTGAAATAGACACTGCGGGTCATGGGGGAGAGATTCCGGGAGAGAGAGGAGGACGAGAAACAGCAGAAAACACATCAAGGGAAGAGGGAAATAACAATAGGGATGGAAGTGGAAATGTCATGCACCTCCACCTCAGAAACACTCTGTATCACCACTTTACTGTCAAATGGTCTGTCACCTTACAATCAAATGCTTGGTCCCTCCAACTTACAGTCAAACATTGTGTCCAAATGTTAGTCAAAGAATGCAATGAAATGCAAACCATCCCATAAATCCCTTCCCAATATCCTTTAAAACTTTATGTTGATTTTCTTCAGGTTATACCACCCTTTAACGTCAACAATCATTTACTGATTACGAATAATTTCTTTTGCGTTTCTTATTATTTCTGCAGAACCGGGCTCCGCAACTTGGAAAACCAGCCGAGACCGGCCATCTTACCAAGACCCCCCCCCCCAACAACACACGAGCGCTGACGCGTTAACTTATCAAACCTAAAGGATCCTTCAGTTCACACTCCAGGTTCGACAAACGTGGAGTGACCAGGTTCTCCTCAGCAACCAAAGAGGAGCGAACGCACAAAAACGCAGGAGGCTGCGGAGGTTCTTATCCTTGCACGAGTCCTTACCTTTGAACGGATGGGGAGCCATCGTCCAAGAGAGTAGATGCGTTCACAACTCTGCAAGGACACTTCCGTGGCTTCACCTTGGGCTGCTGTCGGTGGGATGTGGAGTGGGGCAGGTGGGTGTCGGAGACCGGAGGGCACAGAAAGAGCCTCAAAAGTGTCCCACAAGACCGTCCGACCCGAGTACCAAGAGGAATGCAGCGAGTCGACCCGACCACCTTGGATGGACTCTGACCAGCCCAATCTCGCTTCGCCACAAAATCAAAATTCAAGTTTTTCTTTTTTTCTGAGATAGCATTCTTGTGAAATATCCCAGTAAGAATATTGAAGCTCCTTCCTTGTATGTGATCACTGCTGGATGGTGATAGTTGTGGTCTGTAGATTTTGTCCTCTCAGTGAAAGCAGAAAGTGTTGAGACTGGATGCTCTCTCTCTCTCTCTCTCTCTCTCTCGCTCGCTCTCTGGTCAGTCTTTCCTGCCCCTCTTTATCTTCTCTTTCTCTGTAGTCTGTTTAAAATCTACTGGAGAGAGTGGACTCTGTTTCTGTGTATTTGCGTGTGTGTGTGTGAGAAAGAGAGAGAGAGAGTGGGATGGGGTGGGGGGGAGGACTTGAGGGAGGTAGGATATGAATGGTAGATAGAAGCTGGGGAGTGTCTTGGAAGGGGGGGG